ATCGACGAAGCCAATGAAATCCATTGTGTTTTTATCAAACTTTTTCGTGGGAGTTATTTTGCATTCGTCAATTAAAATGCAACCATGTCTCTGCCATTCCTCATAATCTCTCGTTTTCTCTTTGATCATTTCAAACACTTCTTGTTTGAAACCAAAAGTGCCATCAATGTTTCTTATGTACCTGAATTATTATATTTTATCAGAAAATGAAGTATGAATGAAGTAGTAGATCTCCTGGTGTACCCAAAGTGCTTATATCATCAAATTTTATTAGATTTCATTGGATTCAATGAAATGTAATTATCCCTATAACAAATATATGTTGGATTCTATTATTCATCTATGAGCATTTAATCAGAAAACATTTTTTTGTCACCATATGTGCCATTCCTTAATACTTGAACCTTCCAGTAATGCTACTCTACAGCACCTAAAAATATTGTGAATTGTAGCAATACCTACCTAGTTTTTTTTTTCAAATTATCACAATTGACCTGAAAGTATAGGTGCCGTAATTTATGTACCAGCTGTTGAAAACAAGCACTCAGGATTTAGAGATCTACTCATTGAAAAACAGGATTTGTTATCCACTAGTTTCTTGGTGTAAGAATTTTATGGTGATAATTCTGAAAAACAAAATGATGGGGTTTACAAAGTGCGCACATCTCAATTGCTTTAAAACTTCTGCTCAGGTCTTTGATCAAAATCATTATGAATTTTTACAGTTTTTGGAGTCATATTTCATAACCTGGTGAGATATTCACAGTCTGTAAACACCCGATATAAAATTACGGAAACTCACCTGGACAGTGTACTAGGTGATGGAAGTGATAATATATTATTATCTCTCATATGGTTATACAATTTGGTACTTTTTATTTTCATAAGTATGCACTCATATACCCATTCTAAAGTGTATCGGTGGCCAGTTTTTTTAGTTTTTGCTGCTTTGAGACAGGCTCTAACCATCTCTTGTTGTGTTTTTGGTAGTCCATTTGTGAATAAGTCCAATTTATTTTCATCGATTTTTTCTTTTTGTAAATTCACTATAACATTTTTCAGGTGCCTGTTTTTGTTGGCATTGTATTTTAGGATTCTACTTTTATTTTTATTAAGGAGCAAATGTTTATTTTTCTTTGAGTTACTTCTTCTCATGAAGTACTTATAACTAGAACAAGCTTTACAAACTTTTGTCCTCTGGCCAAGGAAAACATGACAAGACTTGCTTTTTCCTGTACATATTCTTGTCTTGTCTAATCTTGAAATTAATTTAAAAAAATCTGACAATGTGGCTATGGGCTGATTGAAATCTATCCAGGTATTTTTAATTTGCGCCCGTATTCCTTGCTCACTAACAAGCAAAAGTCTTTCGAGAGAGACATCATCATTTTCAATGTACATTTTTGAAAATACAATGGCATTGTATGTTTTATGAATACCCCAAGCAACAGGAAGGAAAGGGGATATTTCTATTTCCATCAAGGCTTCAAACAATGAGTTCTTTTCTAGTGTAAGTTCATGTTGAGGAGATGGGATATCATCAATATGGGTAATTTCCATGAATTCAGGTGGGATACAAGATTGGGAGGTGGAAGGTTCTTCAATGGGAATAGTAGGACTTTCATCCATACATACATCATCACATAGGCTACAAATGGAAGGAAATATTGTTACAAAATGATACCATAGACAAGCATAGACTACTGAGATCAAAATAAGATAAGTGAACTCATTTTACATCTATATCAAATTGCTTTGTTTTTAATGCTTTGGTACCCTTAAAAGTTATTTAATAATTTCAGGTAAGTACCAATTTCCGTTTCAAAGGGAATCATTGATGATATCTGATATTTAGGACATTTTAAGAATTTGAAATACTGTGTAGAATTTTGTACTACATATTCATTTCAGCGCCCTGTAGGGGCTAACCAATGCATTTTGGTATAGTGGTTGAAGTTTAGTCCAATTATCTTATTATGGTCTCAGTAGTATGTGTGTGGTATCATTTTTCATTTGATTAAAGCAAAGCAAAAGTAATAATTGTATTTTTCCAAATGTTTGTAATATGAGTATTCTATCTTTATTTATCAAAATATCAACTAGATTTCCAATATATTTTACTGAAATATGTATGTGTATGCTAATTGTTATTGTATTATATTATTATTATGGAAATGAATATATTTTTTTAAATACTGTCTGTAGGTTAATCAAGGAGGTCTAGTACATTCATAATTCCAGATTTTTTCTCCTCCTTACTATGAAATAAAAATATTATTTCAATATACCTGTAGTCCCAAAATATCACTGCCTTTAAAGAATTTTCCTATCAGAGAGCCTTAAAGAAAAATTCACTAGCTTGTTAGTGACAATTTGTATTGAAACAAGTTTGAAGAGAAATAAAGCTATGTGTATATAGAAAAAATAACAAATTTTTACTTAGCTTTGGACGTTTGGGAAACGAATCTGCTCCTGTTTTCAACATAAAAAAATGGATATTTGAATACCAAATTCATATTTCTCTTGGCACCTTCCATTTCTCGGCAATGAAATGAGTTACAGGATGTTATCATTAATAAATCTTGAATTTACCATTTTCATTGATAGAACATCGTATTCACTTCTGAAATCTGAAGATGAAAATGGTAAATTCAAGATTAATTAATGAAAACATCCTGTAACTCATGTCAAGTGCAATATGAATTTGATATTCAAATATCCATTTTTTTATGTTGAAAACAGGAGCAGATTCGTTTCCCAAACGTCCAAAGCTAAGTAAAAATTTGTTATTTTTTCTATATACACATAGCTTTATTTCTCTTCAAACTTGTTTCAATACAAATTGTCACTGACAAGCTAGTGAATTTTTCTTTTAGGCTCTCTGATAGGAAAATTCTTTAAACACAGTGACATTTTGGGGCAAATCTTCTGATTTGTCCTTACTACACATATATTGAAATAATATTCATATTTTTATTTCATAGAAATGAGAGAAAATCCCAAAAAATCTGGAATAATGAATATTTTTTTTTACTTTCAATAGTCATATTAAAATAAAGGAAAGTTTTAGGTCCATTGGAGACACTCCCTATGATCATCTCTAGGGTAGTTGTGTAATTTTATTTTTGAATAAAGGATAATAGGTACCTTGATCCTATTACAGTATCCTCAACTGTTACTTCCATCAGACTTGTTGGGTCATTTTCTGTTATAGGTTCAGGTTGAGGAGATGGGATACCAGCATCAATTTGGGTATTTTCCATATTTTTTTCAGGTGAGGTACATGATTGGGAGGTGGAAGGTTCTTGAATTGAAATATTAGGACTTTCATCCATACATAAATCATCATAGAGTCTAAAAAAGGAAGAAAATCAATTTCAATGTCAAGATCTACAAGTATTTTTTTATTATTCCCTATACATAATAAATAACTACAAAATGTTACAAGCTACAGCTAGGCTATGTAATAATTAGTTTAGAAAATCTAAAGCACTCTTTATTGAAAGAGTTTTAATATCATTCTTGAAAATAGTTTATTTTCTTAATTACTGTTCTTGCAAACCTTCAAAAAGCAGTGTAATTTATAATGAAAATATCAATGGTTTTCTGATGGGAGGCCACAGGACTCAGCAAGGCTAACAAACAAATACTTCTACTACAAATATGCTCACCAAATTTCAAGAAGATTCTCCAGATATATTATAGTATAACATTTTTTCAACTTCAAACCATCTGTTGAAAACAAAGCATTTGAAATCTATATTTATGTGTTTTTTCTTATTTTGATGAGTAATATGACCCATTGAAGTTTGGTAGGTCATATTTATTTTGAGAATGAATAATTTTTTTATTTTAGGAATGTATAATAATGACCAAGACTATATCAAATAATAAAATAGGTTTGGAATTTCGAATTAGAATGAAAACTAATTCATATATTTCTATGAATATTCTAAATGGACTCCAAGAAGATGATATGATGTCTTTTGCTTTGATTTTCTCAAATTAGAAACATTGTATTTATTGATTGATAAAAAGGAATACTCTGTTGTTCCTGTTTTTTTTGCAGCCTAACCTACCACTTAAGTATATAATAAAAATAAGATAAAAAATATTACAGTTTGGAGGGCAAAGCAGATTTTTTCAGCTTTTTCATGCCTTGACATTCTGGGGGGAAATGCCTGGAGCATATTCGACCACTAGGTGGTAAGTGTTTGCCAACTGCATCAGCCCACTTTTGTCGAACATTATCCTCCTATGAAAGTATAAAGTGTAATGATGAAAAAATGAAATGCAAAGTTAGAAATAAATTCGATAAACATGCAAATATTCACCTTGGGTACCCTGTACAAATGCAGGGAATGGCCTGTACTTGTTTGAGATTGTCCACAAACTATACAATAGTACATGATGTTCAGAGGGAATTAAAACACAACAAAAACTGAATACAACACTGAACTAAGAATAACGACAACGCGGAAAACAACAACAAGAACTAGAAACAACAAAACTCGAAAATAATAAGGATTAACACTGATAGGAACACTAAGGACTAAAACACTGGAAACACTCAAAGAACTGCAGACTGTAGAGAGAATACGACAGAATAACTAGTAGGAATCGGAATGAATCCACACTAATTTTGAATTCGAAATTCAAATCGATAAATTTGACAATCAACGACCTTGACAACAGGCACACAGAACTGCAGATAATTTGCAAGGTTGGTAGAACAATAATTTATAGCCGCGACGCCATCTACAGGTGATTTCTGAACTATGGCCAATAATTCATCGACACTTTCTGACGAAAAACAATTGACAAGTGGAAACACCATAGTTATAAACATCTCAGAACCGACTAACCTCTTTGGAATTACGTTCTCAACTTGCAAGATCACAAAATCACAAGTTCATTGATTCCCACAGTCAGTCAAATGTCAAACCATTGGTGTCATGTGTGTTTGTGATTTGTGAATTGTGTTTGTGGTTTTATGTTTTATTCCTATGGTGATTTGTGACAATTCGAATTGAAAATTAAAAATTGTACTGACGAAGCTTTAATAATAAATGATTATTCCATAAAAATGTCCAAAATTAAAGCAATAGTAAGATTTATATTTTCATGCAATTTAGTATAATTGAGTTTTAGGATCATAATAAACTTATATTTCTAAATTGATACCTAACCTATATTCAATAACAAAAAGACTTCTCAAAAAAGATTACTTTCAGATGTTGAGAGTACAATCCCCAGAAGGAACCAAAAGAGTTGAAGTTAGTCTGTCATCCTCAACATGCCAGTTATTCGAGGCAGTTCATGATACTTTCAAATTGAACAGTTTTGCTTTTGAACTGTATAGGGAAAAAAACAAGAAGAATGAGATAACTAGTAGCAAATCCAAAACTCTACATACCATTGGAATCCGCCATGGTGATATGATATATCTTACACCTGTGAATGGGTCTGTTCTCTTTGTAAGTTGAGTAATTTTCCTGTCATTATTTTTTTAAATCACAAATTTTCAGAATACTGATAATTCCTCTGGAGAACCAATAGATGATTCTACACCATCTACTAGCTCTGCTTCATCAAGTACAAGACCTATTATTAGTTCCAATAATAGCTCTAGTAGCTCCAGTAGACCTAGTAACAGCATCAAAGAGGATGAAGTTGATTTACAACTCATGAAACTAGATGGCAAAATTGAGAGAAACAGAGATGAAAAATTGTAAGAATTTTTGATAACAACTTTTTATCTAATCCTTCATCATTATGTTGAAACAATCAGTGTGAAACCAATGACAAGTGCCAGCAATGACTTCATCAATGCCTCTCAAGGTGCTTGACAAACCACCAATTGTCCAATATTGATTTGCTTTGATTCATACTCCCCACTGGCCCTGCTGTAAGCTTTAAAATATGTAGTAGGTACATGGATAGTTTTTTCCTTGAATGGTATCCCTTTGAAGGTACTTCACTCATGAGTGAGTTGTTTTTATAATAATTATTATTGGGCAAAAATTCACCCCTAAATGTTCTTTATTTGGAAAATAAAAAAGACAATCTGAAATGTCTATGGGTTGAACCAGTGATTGAAGCTTTTTTTCATGAATGTATTCCTCTAAGCCTAAGGGTACTTTATGAGCTATGCCCAGGGGCGGCGAGTTTTGTTTTGCCCAATGGGTGCCATAATGGAGGGGTTAGGGCAAGCCAACAAAAAATGCGCCGCAGGTGAAAATTTTTTATGGCTCAAGGTCAAATGCCTTCAAATTTGAAGATAGCTTGATGCAATATTGATTCTGCATTACGTGTGAAACACCCCTACTAGAATATAATGTTTTTTAACTAATCGGGTTTCGGGTCTGTTGTTAATATCAACATAAACAAAGGTACATCTTCGTTTCGGCCAATGGGTGCATTGCACCCATACCTATGGTCTACATGGGTGCATTGGCCCCGATGCCCCCATGCACTCGCCGCCCCTGGCTATGCCACAATATTATGTTTAACAAAAATCCATCTCCCAATTGTAACAAGGTTTCCCTGTATCCCTAAGGGTATTTCAATAGCAGCATATGTCACAATATTTTGAGGCAAATACCTAACCACCTCAAGGACCTTCAAAATATTTTTTTCAAAACTGATGGATATGAGATTTTTTCCTGATTGTATTTCAGTGAGGATACTTTATAAGCTGATTGTGTCACAATATATGTTTTATTTTGCAAAGCAAATTTTTATTCAACAAAGCAGATATTTTATTCAGTATCATGCTTCATGGGGTTGTAGTAACTTTTTTGTCCTTTTTCTGCTGATGAAATTCTGATCATTTTTCATTTTTTGAATGTTCTGTTTGATTTTGTTGAAAAAACTCATCTCAGATTCTCAACTGAGCTGAAGAGAACAGTTTTTGAGATATTTGCCCCAAAATAGAATCTTGCATGGACATTTTTATCATTTTTATTTGCAGTTTATTACAAAACTATTTTTCTGGGTGGTGAGCTGATTTTTAACTTAATAGTGTTAATTTTGTAGCTGAACTAAAGAAGTTATTTCATGCAGGATGGAAACTAGCATTTTTGTAACTTTCCACTATTGAAAATGATTCAAAAGGCTTAGCAGACATCTTTTCTTTGTCAAATATCTCAAAAACTGGTTGAAGGTTATGTACTTTTTCAACAAAATTGAATTAACAGGACATTCAAAAAGTTTAAAATAATCAAAATTTCATCACTAATAATTACACAGAGCTTATTTTTGTTGAAGTAAACTTGACTTGTATCAATAAGAATTTTGTTGCCTGGCAATTTGAGGAAAAATACTGCATCTGAGCAGATTATGAGTCCCTAGGACAAGTAATTTTTTCTGGGAGTTTTTTGAGTTGAATTACCTAATGGCAACAAAAATAAAAAGAGTGTAATTCCTTAAGACAATTTTATTCATCAAACATTTTGTTTATGGCTGGTTGTCATGCTTTCGAAAGTTAGGTTCCGTTATTCTCACTGGAAAAGTTAGGGCACACATGTTTTGCTGTCATATTGACAAAATCACGTGACATAGGATTTTTCATACAGGAATTAAATTGTCAATGATATAGAGCATTTCAAAAATATACCAAAATCGATTAGGAAACATTCAGACATCATGTTTCAGTGTTTATGAAAAATCATGCCCAGGGGTAAATTTCTGCCGGAGAAAATATTGTGACATTTTAAGGGGTGTGAAAGCAGCAATGGGTTTTCTAGCAATGGTTTTTTTACTTTGCTTATACAGGATGATTTATTAGAAAATGCACATACAGTTACTGTAGATGGAGGACACCTAGGTGTTTCTAAATAGTCTATATTCCATGGGTCTATCATTCTTTATAACCAAGATGCAGGGTGATTTTTTCAATCAATCAAACTAGTTGAAAATTCAATTAATCATAAATAGGAACCACCCTATACATTTTTTCGATATTTGGTTCCTATGTTCTTTGTCCACAGTGGTGACGATTGACATAATAAAAAAAAATCGCGTTCCAGGGTCGGCCTTGAAAAAAAATAATAAGTAGGTTTCGAGTCAAAACAACACCCTTTATATCAATATTTTGAAATTTCATTTCCAAATTTGGAAAGAGCAGGAAGAAATGAGTGAGACTGGATGTATTAGGTGTTTCCACATACAACTTTTTGACTTTTTCACCTATTAACTTAAATCCGAGGTCAACTCTAGAGGTCTCAATAATTAGGTGGCACAAAATTTGAGAAAAAAAAAATAATTTGTCGTCCCCAAATTGCACTATTCCATTTTTAATTTGAAAACCCAACTATTTCTTATTCTCCTAATTTTTTGAACCAAATCTAATTGAAAAACTAGAGGACAGGTCCGTATTTGGGACAAATTATTATCCTCAAAGACTAACTTCAAATACCCTGTATGTGTAGGAACATTATCATAACTTTTGTTTAGTGCACTACATTTAAAACAACAATTATGAGAATGAAGAATGATTCCCATTCCAAAAAAATCATTACTTTGTTTTAAACAAATCTAGATTTTGAAGGTTAAACATAACAGAGAATAAAAAACTAGAATTTTCTATATCCGCGTCCGATTATTGTTTTAGTCAGAGCATGATCATTTCACGACTCTTCTGATGCGTTCTTGATAATAATAAAATAAAGCAGTCTGTGCAGTTGTGAAAGCAGCAATGCCTCATCATCTAGCAACGAATGAGATCAATAGGGGCAGACGGCAGAGAGACGATATCAATAAAACTCGCTCAAATCGAATTAGAAATGAAAATATTAGGAATTTCACGATTTAATGTGCTATAATAAATGGAAAACACTTCACTTAACAAGATAAACAGATGTCAAATAACTTCCTGAACACGATCAGATAGTTGTCTGATTTTGTAGCATCCATTCCACCCCTCTTGCACCCTCTTATAGATATAATTCAAATTCCAACTAAGAACTTTGGGAAGAATGTTTGGAAGATTTTTTTCTTGAAACAGATGTGAAATAGCTTCCTGAACACAATCAGATAGTTGTCTAATTTTGTAGGATTCATTTTACCCCTCTTTCACCCTCTTATCAATATAATTCAAATTCCAACTTAGAGGACAGGAATTGATTTTTGCAATGTATTTTTCTTGAAACAGATGTCAAATAACTTCCTGAACAAGATCAGATAGTTGTCTGATTTTCAATCAATCAATCAATCAATCATGCTTTATTGTCCAAGAAGTAATTCTTATTGACAAAGTAAGTGTAATTTTATAAAGTCAAAAATATTAAAAATATAAAATTATATGAAATATAATGAACAATCATTATAGAGTTAAAACATGTGTACCTAAACGAATATAAATAAAACATTACAGAAAATATATCAAACATTACAGATAAATAAATAAATAACGCAATCCAGATAAGTAAGCAATGGAAGTACTAAGCTTTAAAATTCATTAAAATATTTTTGTTTGGCAACCTTCATCAGCTTTCTGTAAATCGTCCTGTATGTATTGAAATATGATATGAAAAATCCTTCAGTTATGAATTTTTTTAATAGTATGTAGTGATCTCAAGTTTGTTGCCGATTTGAAATTTTTTTGAAATTTTTGAAGCATCCATTCCAACACTCTTCCACCCTCTTATTGATATGATTCAAATGTCAACTTAGAGGTCAGGAATTGATTTTAAAAAAATGTTTTTCTTGAAGCAGATGTCAAGTAACTTAACAAGATAAACAGATGTCAAATAACTTCCTGAACACGATCAGATAGTTGTCTGATTTTGTAGCATCCATTCCACCCCTTTATCAGCCTTTTACCAATATAATTCAAATTTCAACTTGGAGGTCAGAAATTGATTTTTGCAATATATTTTTCTTGAAACAGATGTCAAATGACTTCCTGAACACGATCAGATAGTTGTCTGATTTTGTAGCATCCACTGCACCCTTCTTTCAACCTCTTATCCATATAATTCGAATTCCAACTAAGAGCTCTGGAAATAATTTTTGGAACATTTTTTTCTTGAAACAGATGTGAAATAGCTTCCTGAACACAATCAGATAGTCGTCTGATTTTGTAGCATCCATTCTACCCCTCTTTCACCCTCTTATCAATATCAATATAATTCAAATTCCAACTTAGAGGCCAGGAATTGATTTTTGCAATGTATATTTCTTGAAACAGATGTCAAATAACTTTTTCTACAAACGTCAAAAAATGACAAGATTCGCGCATTTGGGTGGCCAGGTAGCCGTGCGGACAGAGTGTCTATATTCTAATTCGCATTCGCTTGCCGGTCGTGGGTTCGATCCCCGTCGACTGCAGAAATTTTTCTGATGGCCCAAGAAAGTGTTTGGGATCACACGTTAAAAGGTAAGGCCCCCGTCATTCCTTGCTCGCACAAGACTTTCGAAGACTTTTGAGGGTTGCTCGTAAGGGGGCAACCGAATGACGGATAGAACAAATTTTAGAACAAAAAATAACAAATTGCGAAGTGACACTTTTTTTCAGTTTCCTACGTTACCATGATACCTTACACAAAACAATGCGCGAAGTAAAACAGTGCGCGAAGTACCTACTTCGCGCATTGTTATGTAAAATATATGGGATATTTATATTTCAACTTTATGGTCCTCAATCGAGCAAACGTTCACGAAATCATTCATTTCTGTATGTTCAACAATAACTTTGTTTTATCTCTTGGAGCGCACGAAAGGAAATTC